TCGATATCGGTTTTTCGAAATCTTGAGTTTAAGTTTCTTTGGGATAAAGAACAATTTTTTAGGCGCTACTAATCAGGTAGCGGCTGGTCGTGGGTAGTGTTCGGAGGGGCGCACGACGAACAATGCGCCACTTATAGGAAATTCAATTAAGTTTTCCTCTAGAAAAGGTCTGCATACAAGCTCACATATTCTTTGATAATGACACACTAAGAATCCGTTGTTGCACTATTTCAACATGGCATCTTCGTTTCACTTAGAGAATAAAATTTTCAAAATAAAACTGAAATCATAGAAATTGTTTGGTTTGAATTTTTCTCTCAGAATTCAGTTATAAGTCGGTCTTTCCATTAATGACAATCAGTCTGAAGCACCTAGGTCATAAGCAAAAGTGGATTATTCTATGTGGAAATCAGCATTAACATGGGTGCGGCTAGCCATGAGTTGTGTCCCAAAGGGGTGCTGACAAACGACTAGTCACTCATCTAGAAAGCTCACAATAGAAATGATTCAGGCTGACGAAATACGTGGGAAGAATGTCTATCGTATAAATCTGACTAGTTTTGATATTTCATACGAATCATGAAAAGGCTAGAACAATTTTTTTGAAATGAGCTCAGTGAATAAGTTTTCTGTAGGCATAGAGCATTTAGAAAGTACATTATATGGACAAACTCTCTTAGGATATTTCGATCTCATCAATTGAAAGGCAGCTTGAATACAATAAAATGAATTTTTGAGTTTGTAGCATGTTCGTGAATGTGTCAATGCTTGATGTTGTATTAGTGTAGATTATGTATATTTCGGTTAGATGTTGTGTTTGGATAAAAGTATGATTCGACGAGTTCATGAGACAAAGAAACATATGCACATGGATACCCTCACCAAAGCCAATACTAAAGCACATGGAGACATCCAAGCTCGCATTCACTTCTTCTTTCACATTCAATACTAGCATTGTTTACGATTGTAAAGTACCACTCTATACACAAACAGCTGAATAGTCAGTCGATATTCAAGGGAGTCGGCGACAAGCATATACTTGTAAGTCTTGAGACGAGAGAAAATTAGTTTATACACAAACAGAAAGTGATTCTTAACCAAAACTTTTTGTATTGGTCTTGAGTATTCTCGTGGCAATGTTTAAATGATATATTAATGAATAATATATTTTTTAATAGTAAAAATATAAACAAGATCATTTGAAGATGTATTCGTTGTAACTGAAAAACATGAAGTTTGTTTTTAATTTCTTTCAGTCAGTACTGAACATATTCTATATATAAAATATAGAATAGTAAATTCTAACAATTTATTTTATTCGTTTATTCGGTGTTCATCACGGGCTACTGATTAAATGTTCAGCCAAGTTATGTACTCAATTACTGGATTGAAATCGACAAAGCATATGGCAATGTGATATGCAGAACAAGAAGGTAGCTTTAAATTTGTTGATGTATGACTTGGTGAAAGTGTATACGAAATATAAAAGGAAAAAGTACGAGGAGAACAATGTCAAGGTTTAAACAGATCAAAACTAGATTGAACAACGAATGACAATAATAACTTGTAATAATTGTAAAACAATGATTGATGAAATCTCTAGGAGACTTGACAAGTTAACAATAAGTTGTAGACAACACATGTGTGCTAGTTAAATGCGATTGTTATATGATCTGATTAACATACGCATTTATAAGATAGAGTATATGAGTTTTTCTTAAAAAAATAGCATGTTGATTGATTGCGAAAAATTTATCCTCATATATTTTCATATTTATATTAGCATAATTACAAGAGAAAACATCATCTAATAATTTGTCATGTAAAAGATTGTCACGAGTACTAAAGCATCATATACAAACAAAAGGCTAGGCGTTATTCTGTCTGCATATAAACTAATATTGGTGTGCCCCGAGACTTATGAAACACTTTGTATCTGTAAGTTCTTAAAATTATGTGAGTCGTAATTTTTGAAGTTTGTCTCAACATTATAGGTGGAAATGTGAACCTTCTTATCTCTCACAGCCATGTACTACATCCAGTAATTTTTTTTTTGTATTTTCATCGATAAAGATTTATAAAGGTTTTCTTTGCCATATTGTTAATATTCTCATTTTTTTTATTAAAATTTTCCTTTTCTTGAAAAAAGAAAAAAAAATAAGATTGACCTAGATCCAGAAACATTAAAAAAAGTTTCTCAGCAAATGTCTTTTGAGTAATCCCTTTTTTTTCGAGAAATAGTAAAAAGTATTGTTTATTTACATAGATTTAGAAAGTGTTACCAATAAAAATGATGACTTGCAAGACAAGCAAAACATCAACCTATGGGTTGTTCTTCCTCTGTTTTTATTTGCAATACCATTTCCATATTCTTTTTGTTGCAGACGTTTCCTTTACAACTTTAGTCTCTTGAAAACTGTTTCTGACAGATGTTTTATTACATAAATCCTTTTTTGTTAATCATAAAACAATCAATATTCAGCTTGCCGTTGAAGAACATGGATGTAATAATAAGTCACAGTATAGAATGAGCAGTATTAGAAACAAGCATGATATATTAATAATATTTAACTTCATGAATCAATAGTTTTTTTTTTTAATTTGTAGAACTATGTTCATTCTTTGCAGACAATAATAAGAATAGATCGATGTAATGTTGCAATGATGTTTAAAGTAATGATATTCGGAATAATTTTTTTGGTATTTCTCATTTCGAATTCTGATGGAAAAGGTCGAAGAGGAAGTGGAAAATCCAGAATAAGTATGAAAGTATTTGAATAATAGAGAACGAAAAGTTTATTAGTTTACAATATAGGTTCTTATGGTTATTCTTCTTCAAGTTCTTCTGATAACTCATCATCGAGTCCTGGAAAATTTATTCTAGGAATTATTCTTATGCTATTGTTTTGTGTAGGCGGAAGTTGTTGGAAAATTTATAAAGCTTATAGAAATAAACGACGTTGTGAACGTATTCAACAACAAATGAATTATATGTATACATATATACGACAAATATCTGCTATTCGCCAGGTGAATGAAGAGAATGTAAGAATAACAGAAGAAAATGTTTGTTGTTAAAGAAAAACAATATTTTAAAATTATTCATATTATTAAAAATGCCGTTTACTTTCTTTAGTCATCAAATACAAATCAGCCTACTATAATATACCTACCAGTTCAATCATTGCAAACAGTATCTGAAAAACTAGCTGAGAGATATGAAATCGCTCAACCAGAAATACCATCCCCAAATAATTTACAGCAACCAAACAACAAAGAAGAAAGAGAATGTCCAACGATTGTACCTATCAAAGATACTGAGGAGGTACCTCCAAGTACCAATTGATGTTTTTATATATCATGCATGCCACTCTCTATATTATTGTAAATATATTTCATCTCATGAAATGATCTTATAAAATGTTTCACTATTTACAAATTTAAACAGTGACTATTTATCTATGTTTGTGTTAAATGCAAATTGGATACATTTTGAACTTTATTTTTGTTTTTTGATAAAATTAAATATAACCATTTCACTGAATTTTATTTTACTCATCAAATATATGTTATGACTTCTATGAAAAACTTGAATAAGATTTAAGTACAATTGAAAATATTAGATGCAATAAGATTCAACATGCACAACTCATGCTTCAATATTGTCTTTGATCAATGATCGAAAGATAATTTGACTTTGCAACATTTGTACTGACTGTTAGCTTTTATAGCTACGTATGAAATGTAATTGCTATGAAGCAAGTTTCTGAGCTCATTTCTCAATTAATTTTATACTACAGAGAAAATGATTGATTTGATTTAATCTTTTGAAATATTAAATGTGTTGAATCAAGAATAAAGTCAGACGAAATGAATTTATTTTCACCATTTAGATAAATAGTAGATAATAAAGAAAATATAGTTTGTTTATTTGCAAGTCAAATATGAATATTTCACAACGATTATTAATCGGTCAAATAGATATGGCTAATATTGATTGTAAATAACAAGAAATAAAAATTGATACAGATGAAAGTCATGTGGATTTGTTAACTATTCAAATAATAATTTCAAGTTCCTATCTTTAGTTGATGAATTCTTGCTTTTTCTGCTCTTTTGGAAGTAAAATAAAGAAAAAAAAGTTTTTATTTAATTTTATGTTTGCAGTTATTCGATTTATACAAAACGATAGAAAAGAAAATTTAATTAACAAATTATTGTAAAAAAATTAATTGGTATTATTCAAGTAAATATGTTCTTATGGTTTTTCACAAGAAAACTATTTTTGTCATAGAAAATTCAAAGAAAATTATCAAGTAATTCTGAAAAGTTAACGGATGATTTATTACTAAATTTATTACAAATTCGTATTTATTTATCTATATTTCGACTTGGTTCTAATTATTCCACACAAGTTTATTAAAATAAAAAGTACTTCTTTTTCGAATATTCATCTTTTATCTATTGAATATCAGTGTCATACAATGAAAATCATAATCGATACAAACGCATTTTATTATTTTTTTTTCTTTTTTTTGCAAGATAAAAGTCATTCAGTGACTGAATAGCTATAGAAGAAGATAAAAAATTAACTAACTAAGATATCGATCTCACGAAGTCTGTCTATCATTTTCATATAAAAGAAAAATCTAAAAAGTAATTTAACCTTCGAAATAATATTACTTGTAGACTTTTTGTATACTTAATAAACATGCCATTCAAAGTTCCATGTGAAGAAATAATTTATCAATCTGCTAGTTATAGTAAAAGCTATACAGTAAATTGAAGAAGGAAAACATGAACAACCTTCGACCGTTCAACAATTCTATTAAAAAAAATAGAACGACAACAAAAGCTCTGAAAGTTAAATTTTTCTTTTCTATATTGTACATGTATTTTGTTTTGTAACTAAAAGTATGAATGAAGATTAGTTTGATATCGAAAGAAAAGAATTGAGAACGAGAATGACAATGTTACATGTTATATTATCATAACAAGATATGCCTACATTTAGGTACTTGTTTACGTATTAATGTAACAAAGAGGAAAAATAACATAATTAGGAATCTGCTATTTATTGTATGTTTATTATCAATTCTTATTCAAATATTTGACACTATGAAAGAAATTATAGTTGCAAGTCGATTTCATCTTCATGTTCGTATGCATAATTCTCAAAGTGCTAGTGTTTATTTTAAAATAGCAAAAGGTAATCATCAACAAATATGTCAAATGTATAAATTTACAATTAGTCATAATCATCAACATCCGTATTTAATATCCAAATAAAATTTAACATTTTTGGAGAAACTTGAGTTAAAACAAATAACTTTTGGTCATTATAAAATCTGTGCTAGTATGTGTTCAGAATATTTAAAACAGAATCATTCAATAGCGATATTAACCTGTGTTAATGGTGGATTCCCGTTTCGTCGAAAGCTTAATTGATTTTCCTGTTTCATCGAAAAATCAAACTGTCATGAAAAATAGTATAATCAGAGTGATAAGCTAGATTTCTTTGATTGACTTAAATTACTTCCTTAAAAAGAAACTAATTGATATTCCTATACTAGTAATCTGCATTTTTGAAAAAGTATACATATGCGGAAGAAAAAAGGGGAAATTCAATTTTTTTGCTATATTCATTCATCATTACACAGAATGATGCTATCGATCGTTGAAAGTAAATGTAATAAACCAACTTTAATACTTGATACATTTCGCTACACATAAAGTCGAATTTTAAATACAACTGATTGTTGGAAATGTGAAAATCGCTCATAGATGCGGTGAGTGGATGTGGATGTTTTCTTCTTTACACTCACATTCACCCTCATCACGTCTTTTAGCAACTGGTATATTACCTCCACGAAAAAAATTATTTGTAAATCGAAATGTACGATTAAACAAATTAAACGAACATTTTAAACAAGAAACATTAAAATTGAATAAATATCTTGAAACAATTTCTGCGATTAATCGGAATAAAAAAGTATTATTTTCTTTTCTATATTCATATTTTCTCTTAATAATTTCTGATTTATGTATCTAAATCTTCTCTATCATAAAGCTTTTTTTTGACAAATTTATCTACAAGTAATTAGGCACTATTCCTAATTAGTATGACGAAAAATCTCATCAAATGATATAATCTATTTTTCATTGATTAAGCAGAATTTATTTTTTCGACGAAACGGGATCTAATCGTTTTCTGTGAATAATAGCAATATAATCGTTATATATAAAATGAGTTATGAGATAACTAAATATACATACTTGTGTAGTAGACAAATGTAAACAAGTATGTTTGAAGTTGATTGATTCTTTCTACTAGATTTAAAATAACGGCTTTCATGAAAATCAAATTATTATCAAATGAAATCTTAATCAAATACTTCAAGTATTTGAGTGTACTAGATAATATTTATTACCTTCAATCTTTTGACCGATCGTTTTAGCGAGCTGGATCTAAATATATGGTTACATTTTGACCTTTAGCATCTCCAACAGTCGATATTTAATCAATTTCATACGAAAATATTGTCAAATCCAAAAACTTCAAGTCAAATATATTCACTAAAATTGTCAAAGCATTTCTTCAATACTTCTCATACGATGATTTCTGTTATCTACGTACATTACCTTTGATTCGTGTACATCAATCTGAGTTGAAAAGAATATTATCAATGATATCATCATTATCTCGTCTGTGTTATTTTCATATCTCCAGTGGATGTGACTTGATCCAGCACATATCAGCTGGATTGCTATTGTCAGGAATGCGAACATTGGTAATATTTAGTCGAACACCACTTCCGTGCGCAATAACAGAGCAAGTGCCATTGATATTCAAGCAGTTTATTTGAAAATATTGTTTGTGGTATTCGTTTAGGATGACATTAATCTTCTTGAAATACTTTTAAAACAAATACCAAGTTTGAAAAGCTAATCCTTATTTCATTATAGTGATAAAAACAAATGGTTAATGCTCGTTGTTGAAAGCATTTCATTCCACTTTCATTGTCTAACTGAACAAATTTCCTGTTTATATTCCAGATTACGTTCGAACTGTTGCCGCTGTGTTCGACTGATTTCAATAATTTCAAATCGATTTTTAGCACAAAGGAACATCATTGGTTTACTAAGTATCAATATGATAAAGAAAAAGCATTCATTTATATCATCCCTCACATATCAGAAACATACATAATTACCTAATACACAAGCAAACCCTGTAACATGTCAATCAGTAGTTCAAAGTCATTAGACAAGGTTATTAATCTAATTCCATTAGGTTAAATGAATTTAGCATCAATATTATCTCAAATATTCGGAGAAGCACTACAATTATTGGTGTCTCTCCAACTGGTCCCTGATTGTGTCCCTAATTGATTTGTCCCAAATAAATTTCTTCTCGATTCAGCCCATGCTGAAAAAAAAATTGACTCCAAACTCGGCCCATTCCTAATTTGGCCCTAATATGCCAGCTAATTAAAATAAGCGAAATGAGCAATAAAGATAGTTTATTATTATTTTTTTCTGAATATTGAAGCAGTGAGTCACACATACTTGAGTAACAAGAAAAGAAGACAACGAGCAACAACAACACAATAGATATTATTTCTTTATCAAACTTGTTTTTACCGTGCGACCGCATTTGACAACCAATTCTAATTTATCGAGTTCTTCTTTCTCATATGCTTGTAACAGGTGAATGAGCTTTTCGTCAATTTCATCGTACAATTTCTTTCGCTTTTCAATTGCACTTGACTCTCTTCTGACTTATGATGTTGATATTCATGTTCATCCTTGAGTCGACGAATAAAGTCGTAAATATGAGGATGTTGAGAAAATACAGTAGATATTCGATAATTGTAGCCTTCAACAGCGTTATTTAGGCGAGGTAAC